CACACACACACACACAGCCAAATATTTTTTGAACGCAACACCAGCCGGACCAGCACTCGAAAAGCGACGACACCCCCCAACTGTTGTCAACGAAAGCGCGGTGAAGCTGAGGAGGAGATCAGGCTCGGCCACTACCTTATTTATGGTAAGAACGGCAGAATAGGCTTCTGTCACTCTCTTTTAAAACAACTTCCTGGTCTCTTTTCTCCTGGCGGGCATTCCAGTAACTTCCATCAGAGGCCAAGGATGCTGTTAAACTGTTCCCGTTCGCCGATCGCTCAAGTGCCGGCAGGTGAGGTTCCCCTTCAGACGCTGTTGATCCGAGGAAGCGCCGGGTCTGTTGGGCGGCTGGAGATGGTGTGTACGTCCCTCTGGCCCGGCGTGTGCCTTGGTCGTCGCTCGGGCCTCTGCATTTCGCAAAGCTGCGAAAAAAATAAAAATAAATAAACAGAGTTTAACGACAGGAAATTGATTCCAGTTGTCAGATCACGTAGACGCATACCTTAGCTTTGTGCAACAACCTGAAACTTTCAGGGACCATAAATCATATTATTGCTAAACATGCTAAAATATAGAATACGAATTTTTGTATAAAAATGCATTAAGTCCTGTTCTACACCTGCATGCTTTGGAAGCACTGGCCTACCTGTATACAAAATTCTTTTAAATCTAGCATTACCACACACATTATATATATATATAAAACGTATTGATCTAGGACACTTAAAAGACTGCGCACACAAAATCCTAGTCCTAACTGTCCACGTTTTAACGAGTTCATTAGCGCGTAGGCGTCTGTGCAGTTCAGTCATTACAGGCAGACACCGACACCCTACTGTGTGGCCATCATGAAAACGTCTCGGTGAATTACAAACCCCTTTTAGGTTTTTTTGTGTGTTTGTATTTGCGCTTCGCTGCTCCCGAAAGAGACCTTGCCCCCGAAGGCGGGTACCCCCAGACACACCGGAGCTGTTCTCGGCAGCCACCAGCAGCAGGACAGTAAACGAAGCGGCTCTTGTGCAACAGCCCTGGCGCCCGTCTCCGACAGCGGACGGGTCGATCCGTGGGGCCGGCGTCTGTGTGTGTGTGTGTGCCTGTGTGCATTACAGCTCGGTCCCGATGACGTGGAAATATTAAAACCGGACACTTTGCACATCTGACAAGCCCCTCTCCCCTACATGTGTGGGGTCTTAGGCACGTGTTTGGTTTAGTAGACAGGGAAAGAGAGAGCTTTTTCCTCTGTGTGTGTGTGACCCCACCCTCTCCGTACGCCCAAGGGCAGTATTGTTAACCACTAGGTAATTATTGACTGTAAACTGAAAGGAGGGATCAGCCTCATGTCACGGCTCTTAAACAAGAGAAATCTCGTTGGTAAATGATTGAGACGTGTTTCCGGCTGCTGCCAGACAGCTGAAGAGTAAGGATCTGCACCTGGCTTGAAAATGCTCTTCTGGCAGTCTCACACAGAGCTCTTCCACCACCAGCAGCAGTATGCCGGCAACAGCTACGTGCGGTAAGAAGGCGGCACGGTGTATTTTTAAAGCTTCATCGACTTGGTACTCTCCCAGGTGTCGCGCTTCACGGCAAGGCACAATAAATTTCCACCTGCATTACAAGCGCTCTGAGCTGAGACACACATTTTTGCCCTGACCTGTAATTTTGAGTGCAGTTCAAGTTAACAGAGGAAGGTTTCGTAATTAATCTCTGCAAATGCCGTATGCTTACAAGGTGTGAAAAATACCGTAAATTTGCTTTGCGCTATAGTTTATATCTGCTTACCTGGATCGCTCTTATATACTGCTTTTGCTTTAATAAAATTAATAAAAAACCTTTTACCCGAATATAGATAACAGTAGCTGGGTGTGTTTAACTTGACATTGACAGCAATAGCTCTGATACACAGGAGTTTCATTAGCAATCACGTCCTTTGTCATAAATGAGTTCATTCACTAAAAAAAGTTCAACTGCAGTATATCTAAGACACTTTAATAAACCTAGAAGTGATAGACATACATAATATAATATTTATATAAACAGTGAACAACGTTGTTGCCGATTCATATATTCATGCTGCAGTTACGGCAGCAGTAACCTAAAGTTACAACTTTAGGATGAGTGCTAAGCTTAGTGAAAAGTTCAGATTTTAAATTAGACTCGTCTGAAGTCTTGTCGAAACAAACACGGGAAAATTAACTTCTAAGATCGTTGACGTTTAAACGCCGTTTTGAAGGACGGAGTCATGTCTGTCGCATGCAATTAAAAGGCCCTTAAAAAACCTTGCCACGGAAAGCACATTCGCAATAATCCAACAAATACGGATGTCCCTAGCGGGTCTGAACAAGCTTGAACGCTTGTGGGATGTGTTGACACGCAGGGGTTAACGCCTGTGAACGACTGAAGCAAATGTACCGCGACAAGCTATTCTGAGCTGCCAGTTAGCAGAGTTCATCTAAGGACATTGCGGTCAGTAATCAGTGTGATATTTGCAGTAGTTTTTCTCTTACTGCATAAACATTTCCATCAACTTTTTAAGCATCCTTAACGTTAGAAAATACCACTCAGTGTTATAATACAGCATGTACATTGAATGTCGCATGTATATCACGGTACTTAACGGGGGGAAAGTGGTATCCCATTAAAACACTTCCCAGACGTAGCGATTTCCATCTGAAATCACCAAGCTTTGAAACAACCAGGGACCACGGGGAGGTCTGATTTTAAATTGCACCGTCCCTCTGGGGCGGGACCCGTGGGATTCACTTTGCGGGCCACAACACCGCCGGAGGCGGAAACGACGCCAAAAGGACAGTAAATAAAATAATATTGATCATCATAACAAGGACATTTCGAAAACGGAGAGAACAAAAAAAAACAAACATCGACATTAAGATGCTTTAACCCTTGTTGCGCAAACACTAGCTATCCTGAGTAAAAATAGTAAATGCGTGGGGGCTTATACATTGTTGCATAGTGGGTGCTTGCGCAAAAAGGGGGGTTTTCAAAATGTTCACCCCAGGGAACTGTATTCTGAAGGCACGGCAGGCTGAGACATCCAAGTACCCGACATTTCTGCTCTCCCTGCAGAGGCTGAAATGTGTGCATGGTGGCAAACGGCTCTGCACCCCGGTCCACAGTTGCCAAGACGACCTGCTCCGCAGAGCCCCACTGTCTCCTGAGAATATCAAGAAATGATACAAACAAGAAGAGGCCATTTGGTCCAGCTACTGTAGTCCACCTGCACTTGCTTTATTGGGGTGGCTGACTTTTACTCTTGACTGTACCTGAGACTTGTTGTCACTTGTAGTCACTGTATTCAGCATTAGGCGTTTTAAAACCATTTTCCTGAACCTGTCCCTTGCGAAACGTTTTCCGCTGTTCCCCCCAGAAACGGTTTTGGATGGCTTCGGCTTGTAGGCTTTCTCTGCAAAACGGAGAGAATTATTCGCGCTCGGGCTTGGGAAGAAATGGCGGCTGCAGCTACTTACTGAACTGTGCAGGTCGTTTCTTAGGGTTTTGTCATAAAGCGTCCAAGGCAAATGACAACTGAAAACAAATGAAACTTCTTTAGCTCTCGGGGGGATGAACATTAAGCATTATGGCTTAAAGTGGAGCTGTGTCTTGATAATGAAGCATGCTGTTATTGGATGTGGTGAGGATATCCTGGAAGTGGATTAGTGTGGTATTTGATTTCACACAGCTCTACAGATGAGAGATTTGCGTAAAACCCCGGAGCTGTGGTGTTGTTGAAGATGTGGCTGCTGAGATTTCATTTTGCCTCGGTGACAGCAAACATGACCAGGTGGATGCTGCACATTGGGGGGGGTGGAGGGGAGTCCCCATTACCTGTAAAGCGCTTTGAGTGGAGTGTCCATAAATTAACCTGAAAGAGAGTCTAGCGTACATCTGGTATATCCACCGGGAAACGTGATCTTAATAGTCATTGTTGCTGGTCCTAGATTATTATTATTATTATTATTAATAATAATAATAATAATAATAATAATAATAATAATATTATTATTATTATTGATTGTGAATAACTATCGTCCTCCCCAGACTGCAGGGTTAGGCTGCGGCTCCGAGGCTGTAGGACTAAGCAGTAAATGAAAACGGATGGGTGAATTATCTGTTGTTTTCTTGAGCGAAGGGAGGAATGGAGCTAACAACACCAACGTTTTGTGGCATCACGACATTAGCACGATCCGTAGTCGAGAAAAAGAGTGTGTCCTGTCAATTATGGGCACTACGATGGATATGCATAGTCATTTTACTCCATAGGAAAAGTAAATCATGATTAATTTCTCTGTTGCGTTTTCCTTATTTATTTTCGATTCACAACCAAACAAGGCAGAGCGAAAACCCATTAAGAGACACGTGTGCGTCGCCGATGAAAACCGTAAACTATAACTGAAGCCCAGCGTGCAAAAAGTCGTGTTTAAGGCAGGGTTTCAAAGTGTTGACTGACTTGTACGATCACGGAGCAAGGAGTCAGAAAGCATCGTCTCCCAGGAGACGAGAACTGGAAGACAGCGAGGGACACGAAAACCAAATCCCTGTTTTAGTCGAAAACCAGCCTGGCTGTAAATTGTGCCGTCTTATGTGCTGTAGCTGGCGCTAGTTGACTCAGAAGGTGGCAGTGTTGTACACGAAGAACAGCTTTATGCTGCGCAGCTGACGTTTGTCTTCCGACAATATTATTATAAGATAGTTTTGGGGGCGTGCATCACCATTTTTAGGTCGGTCCCTCCCAGTTAGATGTTTGTCACGCTACAAAGGCGCGACATGTCTACTTTGAAGCAGGGCAAACGTGTTTTTTATACGGACTTGAAAAGGACTTGAACCGGCCACTGTCTCACTGGTCTTTCCCAGGGGACCCTGCTGTTTGGGCCGGAATCTAATTGTTATGGAGAATCAACTAAACAAAGACGGAAACGTTTGATAAGGGGGTCCCCCCCCTTTTATTTTAGTTTCAACCTTTCAAAACGCTTAGGGTTAGATTTTTGGTAGGAAAAAAAGAGTCGAGAAAAAGGCACTACTTCACAGTACCATCACCATCACAGCCGACCTGCGCAGAGGGGGCGTAAGTTAAAAAAAGAAAACAGTCGTTGAAAACGGCTATTGGCCGCCTGCTGCCCTAACAACCGAAGACAAGCCTATCCCGAAGAACATGCCCGGAGGGTCCAGCCAATGAGACGCGCCCGCAGCCCGCCCCTCTCTTCTGTGATTGGGCTACACTCGCGTCTTTCAAAGGGCGGTTGAATCCGGAGCCAATTACCGCGAAGGGCCTCCCCCTCCCTCGGAGACTTTCTATTGGCGGGAGGGGTTTTGCCACGCGAGCGGGGCGCTCTTGCTGATTGGTCATCGCGGCGGCGGGCCTCACCGCCCCGCGGCTGGTGTCGGAACTGAAGGGGCTTTTTTTTTTTTTTTTGCAGAAGAGCGTGGGAGGCCATGTTGGTGTTGTGTGTGGAGCCGCGACGGTTTCTCTCCGCGGGTTAAAGGAATCCTAGCCGAGCACCGGCGGGGAAATACGCCCTTTTTTTTTCTAGTTTTGAAATATTTTTTTTTGGTCCCCTTCTGGCGCCGCGCACAGCCGGCCCAGGGCGGCCAGACCACCCCGCTGTGGCCGAGGTCGCGATGAGAAAGGGAGGAGAGGGGTCTCGGAGGAGAGACGGGGCCAGGCGCGCATAGGGCTGTGCCTGGGAGCCGGCGTCCAGCCCTTGGGCGATCCCCGGCTGCTGTGTGCGCCGCTTTCTCTCCGCAAGGCCTCACCCTGCACTTAACCCGGCCATGGTGCGCCGCTTTGTTTTGGCCTGAACCAGGAAGGCTGCTTCTCCTCTTCCTCCTTTTTTTTAAATGGTTTCATTTTTCTTTGCACCACCGAGACACGCTCTTAATGCTCGGCCCCGGGCGCGTTTTGACGACCCCCGCCCTCCGCCTTTTAAACGATGGTCGTGACTAGAGGGTACGCTATCGAGCGGGTCGCTGGCCTCCCCCGCCTGACGTAACACCCCTCCTCCTCCTCCTCCTCATCCTCCCCGGCCGCCCGGCGCGACGTCTGCGGCCACGGTGGAGCCCGCAGGTTCAGACCCGGAGGAGAAGGAGCTGGGGGCGATGGCCTGGGTCCTGAAGATGGACGATGCCGCCATCGAGTCCGGCCTGGTGCACGACTTCGACTCCAGTCTTTCCGGGATCGGGCAAGAACTGGGGGCTGGCGCCTACAGCATGAGGTCAGACACCTCCCTTTCCTGCACGGTCCCTCTTCATCCCTGTGCGTCGCTTTATTAAGGCGGGGGGGGGGTCCTTTCATCGTGTTTGCTGTGTCGAGGTCGGTGGGTGAATGCAAGTTTCGTGTCGGAGGGTCTCCTTCCCCCTCGCACGTCGTATAGGACAGGCTGGAGGTGCACAGCCGACCACCAGCTAGGGCTCTGAAACAAACGCGTCGGGAGTGCTGAACTGCCGGGCATCGTGTCTCCGTGTATCGCTTGTGATGAGCCCGGGGGAAGGATCTGTAGGTTCGTTCATTTCACAGGGCAAGCTGGAACATATATATCGATATATAGATATATTTTGTCCCACCCGAAAGCTTTGGATGCTTGTGCCAGGCTCCTTTGCGAAAATGAAAGGTTCATTCTGAAGCCTGAGTTCATTCTCGAGAGTTAATGTGTATAGATATATGAAAAAGACATAATTGGTTATCTACTCTCCTAACGACCCTGATCAACGTTATATGTTGTACGAATTGGCTGCAGTTTTTGTGGGTGCCAAGCCAAACGGGGTGCCCTTATTTTCCTTAGGAAGGGCCAAGTTGCACACTGCAGATCTAGTTGCGGATGGCATCTGTTCTTTAATGGAAGACCCGAAGAAGGCTCCACAGCCCCCCACACACACGTCGTGTTTCCTTTCTGTGCTTCTCGGCGTGGAATAAACCTTTCCTTGTTCTCTTAACTGTGTCTTTATAACTGAACTGCAGGCTCCACAGCAGTCATTGGGCTGGTCTTTAGTGCACAGAAATACAGCCGGCAGTAAAAAAAAAAATCCTCTTGAAAATAGCCCTCCAAGCCTTGTCTGCACCCCTGAAAAGATTTCTTCTGGTATCGGAATCCCTCTGCCCCGTTATCACAACTGCACTCACAGAGGTGGTTAGGCTGTGTGTCGACAGATTCATAGTTCCCATGTGGGCGGTTCGAACAGAACAAAAGTGACTGGAGGTGCTTTATTGAGCCGTGCTTGTCATTTTCATGAACCATGTGGCGGTTTTCTTCCTTGCAGTTTGTTTGCCCCTAGGATAGACGTTCTCATGTTCCTGCGTTGTAGTCTGTTGGGAACAGTCCAGGGACTGTGGTTTGGGTGTGTCTAGACACCAGGTGCTGAACTCCTTGGGGAGTGTTATTTATAGGTATCGCACCAATAATCCCACCAGAAGCAGTTTGGAAGAGGCAGTAAAGATTCCAGATACCTTTCGTCTTAAATGGTTTACAAGGAGGATTTATATGCATCAACGGTGTACTCCAAACTTTTCTTTGAAATTTGTTTTCGGACATTTTCACAGCTTTGGCCCTTAATTCAGCCTAGTCCGTGTGAGATGAAGCCAAGTTTGTCATTTAGCAAATTTTAGATCTCATTCCGAGTTGTCAACAGCCTGAATTATGTATGAGCAGCCCATGTGAAGTGTTATAGTCCCGAATGATTTAGCAGACAAATCTACTAGACTCACTGCCAGATGTTCCTCACCATGAACACCACTGGGTTCTCTCTACACACCACTAAAGCTAAAAGTCCAAAATACACACTCACCTGTCGGTATGAACTGGTATCTTAAATGGTTTTGGTTTCAGTTGAAAATTAGAATGGTTTCTGCATAAAGAAGGAAGAACATTAGGTCAGACACTGCTTCTGATCAGCATGTTATAAAGGACTCCATTAAAATGTCTATGAAAGACAAAGATTAAGTACCAGTGCCATTTAATGAATTGACTTTTGGTTTTGGAAAATGTGGGTGTTGCAGGTTTAATGACTTTGGTTGTAAGCGTTCTCTTAACATTGGATTCGGTAAAACAATTTCCTGTAATCTCACAGTTTTGTTTTTAATGTAATTATACTCATGGTTTTGTTAAATATTTTAACCTCCCCCTTAAGCTGTTAAATTACGCTGGGTAGACGCACCGCTAAGGTGGGGAGGTCACTTGGCAACCGGATCTTGGATTAGATATGGATGCTGTCCCTGGCAGAGTAAAGAATCAACGTGCATGTGGTCCACAGAGGGAAAAAACAACTCTCTCTTCTGGAGAGCTGTTCCCTAAAGCAGGAGACTAAAACCCAGAGCCTCATGTACAGTACTAAAAACAAACATGGGTTGGTTTGTTTTCCTGTCACAGGCTTAGCATCTAAAGCGAAAGAATGTGGTTTAAAAAGTATCAGCCTTTGGCTTGATAGAGGAGACATTTTTATTTGAAGTTGTTGGGAATCTTGGAACTGGCTGGCCTTACATGGGCAGCTGATTTAAAGAACGGTCACTCCAGTTCCGACCTGGGATTTAGCTAGGCTGGATTTCATGATGAGTTTTCCGGTGGGGTTTGAGGATTCCTACACTTCAATAAGATGTTTACTTTTTTTAATTTCCAGCAGAAGAATTGACTTCTGCGAATGTATGAACTGGTGTCGTTCCAAGACAAACAGATGTGATTTACATGAGGTCTTCACACAGTATCTCACTGACCTCTTCAGTGAAATATTGTCGTCAACAGGTTTGCATTGCAAAGTGATGCTGGCTTTGTAATAAAAAAAACAAGCTACAATAAAGCTACAATGCGCTGCTTTCTATGAACACTGAAGACATGCCCATGAAGCCATCACCAGAATTTAATTTGTTTACCGGTTTAAGTGAAATGTGTTTTTTAGTGGTTTTTCATCAGCATATCATGCATATTTCAGCACACTTCGAACACACTGCTTTAAAACATCATAGTAGTTACAGATTTCACGGGTAATGTGATGTAATGTGAAGAAAACCCAGCAGCTCAGAAAAGCGACACAGGAAAGAAAGTGCTATCACCCTACTATGGGAGAGCCTTTAGGTGAAAGCAAAAAAGTGTGGCGTTTGATAAGATGATGTTGTTCTTGAAACCTAGGTCAACTGCAAATTTTCCTAGGAAATGGCCAAATGTATCAAAATAAGTGACAGACTGGTCTTGTCCTTACAACATAAGCAACAGATTGTGAAGCCATTCATCTGCTGAGTAATTGTGTAAGTGTTATTATGACGGACAGACAATTGAAAACCTTCTGCAAATTAACAAATGATGTTATTTAAAAATAAAAATCTTTTGCTTTGTTGCCTTACTTTATTTTCGCCACATGTAGCTCCGGGATATGCAGGTCAAACTAGTTGTCATAGACAAGTTGTTTCTATAGTTCAGTAACAAAAGTTAACACTCTGCTAGGGTGTAGGCCCAGCGTTTCACATGATGAAGCCGGAAGGATATTGCTTTCCTTCCACTGTCGCCCTGCCTGTCATTTTTGAAGGCGTTTCTCAAACGAGCGTTACTGCAGGGTTGTCAAGATGTTGCCCGTCTTCTCTCCCTCGCTGTCTCCAGTCGTCGGTCCTCTCGACGCAGACGCACTGTCTGCACCGGAGACCTGGTCCGGAACAGCATGTCATCTCCAAAGTGCTGCCAGCACAGCTCTGGGAGCAAATTACTGGGATGCGCAGAGCAGAAAGTCACGCACTGTAACAGAAGTACTGCGTGGATCAGCGGTTTATTTTTTTTAGGAAGCAGAGGCAGGTCCAGAGGAAGCCGAGCTTCCAGCTTGGAAATAGATAACAGCACGTGGTGCTTGTGCTTATGAGCATTTGCTGCATTGAGGTCTTTCTTGGGAATTCATGTAGAAGAATGTTTTCTTCAACTTACAATTCGTGTGACATTCGTCAGGAGGTATAAACCTTTCTGCCCGCTGAGCTACAGTTACACCTTTTGCAGACATTTTCTCCATTAGTCTTGCACATATTTAGTGTATAATTAACGATGGAGTGACAGATCTGTACCACATTTGTAGCGTTGAAAAGGGACTGTATATTCTGGTCTAATCATGTTTCTATAATCCCATTTAGGAAGAAGTGAATGCATTCTTCATCACATTTGCTGCCTCTTAACTGTGATGTTAGTGCTTCTCTTTCATTCGCTGTTTTGTAAGTCTGCATTTTTTTGGCCCAAAACAATGTTTATTCTCAAAAGTGCAAATGTCTTTGTACTTTTTGAAAGGTAACATGTTATAAGAAAACTGGTTAGTTGTGCCACTCACTGAGAGTCAAATTCAGAATTATCTGTATTGTAGCCAGAAAATTGATGGAATCTGTAATTGGAGAACCGAAGGTAACATAAGCCAACTATATTAAAATGCGCAGTGTGTGCTGTCTATATTGGCATCTATTATTATATAGTTACTGTTTAAGTCTACTTATCTGCCCGGAACATGATTGCAGTTCTAGGTTTGTAGCCTTTACAGTGTTGTGTTACGTCACTTATTACAAACGCGAGCTGTGGAGTGTGAAAGGTGCACCTCAGTGGATGGGATACAGTAGCTGGGAATGGTCGAGGAAAAATCCTGCAGGTCGAGGAAAATTAGGAAGGGGGTCATCAGCACTGCCGGCCAGGTTGTGCAGTATGTAGCTGTCAGGCGGTGTGTGGCAGCGGGAGGGGAGACTTGCTTTGGCAATGGGTGGCAGAGGAGAGGGTCTCCAGCCTGCGGAGGGTGATCGTCTGCTGGCGCTGCAGCAGCAGGAAGGAGGCTGCAGAAGGAGAAACAGGTCCTGGAACTGGGCCACATCCATGCTCTCTGGCCTTCCCCCCTCCCCACTGCCTTCACAAGAAGATGCATAAGAATGGTGTCTCCTCCCTCCTAGCGTCCGCCGTCCGCGGTTAAAACTAAAGACCCAAATAGGCCGGCGTTGCCAAGGATGTTGGCGTTGGACTCCGGAGTGTCCCGTGATGGCTCTCCTCTGTAATCTGGAGTGTCTGATTCACTCTTCACGTCCACTGTGGGGGGTGAAGAGTTAGAAGCCCTGCCTTCTAGCTGTCTTCCTTTGTCAGTAGCAAACCAGATCCTTTTCAACCCCTGAGGATCTAATTGCTGCATTTTCTTCATGTGTTTAACTGGGGTGGGGGAGTTGAGCTCAAGCAACAATTTCTGTCAGTCTTGGTTTTCATTTGTTCAAGAGGCAAATAAACCTGCGTAAAGCTTTAGCAGCACGAATAATCGATTGATGGCAGGATTCCTTTGGGGGGGAATAGCAGAAAGCACGCGCAGATAACCGTTATCCCGTGCAACTCAAGAAAGAATTCAGTACCCCAGTATCCTTCACAGAGACAGCGGGAAGTTCATGAAACGTTGTGCTCAAGAACAAAAGTAGATTGTCTCGTCAGTGATAACTTGATGTCACAGAAACGCGAAAATCTGAAGTTGTCAAAATTTGATCGGTACTGGACAACATTTCCTCAGAAGGGGGTGAATACTTCTGCAACGCACTGTATAAGAATAACCTGTTTGTTAACAGCCTTAATATTCTTTTTCTTTTGAGTAAATTACGCTGCATATTTGTATTTTATAAATGCCCTTTAAAATACTGTAGCTATGCTCAAATGTGACTTGCACCCGACAAATGGTTTTAAACCTCATTTAGCATAAGAAATAATCTAGTTCCTAAAAGTATTTATATCATAAATTACTCTTTAAAACAGCACAGTACAGAAAAACAGTACATTAAAACAGAGAATGGTAATTACCCTTAAGTGTTTCTTCTTCAGCACAGTTCACAAATATTTGCAACAGTTTGGCACTACTTAAGTAATTAACTACGTAAGTAAATAGTGTCAAACTGTTGCAAACATTGGTGAACTGAAGTGTTTGTGAAATACTTAAGGCTGATTATCATTCCCTGTTCTGAAATGATTAGATAAGTTTTTTTTAATTCAATTTAGCAAAGAAGCAAATTAATCTTTGCACTTAGTGCAAGGGCACATGTAGGTGGTTGTATATTAGATTTGTTTTAAGTGGTGTAGGTGTTTATTATATGACCACTGAACTGTCCCAGGAACAAAGAAGCAGCAAGGCCATGCTTGGATTCTTTCATTACTATAGAGGAGTTTTTTCCCCCTCATTTTAAGTATGTGAAATATTGGTCTCCTCTACTATTTAAGTCCTAAACTAGATGACCCGAAACAGTGTTAAACAATAGTGAAGCCTTTTATTTATGACTTGACAATGCAAGGAGTTCTGCTCGGCAGAAATGCAATAGCTTGTATCCCATGTAGTGGAGCTCCAATTAAGACTGAATATAAAACATTTAGTTGCTGATTGCAGGGGTATTGTTCTTCATGCATTCTAAAATCAGTGCTAGGTTTGAATTACAATGGCGATCAGAAAGTCGGAAGTTCATCTACTGCAATAAGAGTATTCATACAAATATAATTGAGTGTAACGAATACTGTGACATTCTGCTAGCTCGAGAAGCTGTCGTGCAAGAATCTTGTTTATAATTGAATGTTTGAGGGGGAAACCAGCCTATTTTAACTACTTAATTAAAACCTCTTGCTGACATAACTTTTCCTTTTGCTGTGCATGCTTTGTGTGTGGTTTCATTCCACCTGTAAAGGAAAATAAACATTTGCTCTCTCTCTCTTCTGCCCAGTGATGTCCTGGCACTGCCTATATTCAAGCAGGAAGATGCAAACCTTCCCCCGGAAAATGAGACCAAAAACCCTCCATTCCAGTACGTGCTGTGTGCCTCCACCTCTCCTGCCATCAAACTGCATGACGAAACGCTCACCTACCTTAACCAAGGTGAGCGCCTCCGAGAGGGTCAGGGTTTCCGCTGGAAGTGCAAGTTAGGCTATCGGGATTTACCTGTGAATTACCCAGATCCCACGTTCTTCTGCACAAGCTCAATTTCTTGTGAATCCTTTTGGCGTGGTTACACTGCAGTAAAAGAAATACGGCTCTCGTTTAACATTTTCCTCCCCCTCCCCTTAAGGTCAGTCTTATGAAATCCGAATGCTCGACAACCGGAAGGTGGGGGACTTGCCAGAACTCAACAATAAGACTGTAAAGGTAGGTCCTTTTATCTTCCGTACCTCTGTTGTGTTTATCCTGAGTGAGTGGATGCGGAACTCCAAGGCTCCAGCGGAATACGCAGGCTAGTTCGCTGCCAGTCTGTTTTCCAACGAGGGTTGTTCAAATAAGCCCGGGGCCGCCTTTTGTAGAATATTGATTTTTGGTTTTTAAACGTCTTCCTTAATACTCGCTGATGTACGATGAATGGAGTGTCCAGAAAAGCGCAATATAAGTGTAAGAAATTATAATGAAATAAGAATACTACCAGTATTTTCCATGTCATGGAACTGTGCATAATCCTGGATTCAGTTAAATGCAGGGATGTCAGCTGTTGGCTTTGTTACAGCTGTTGGATGCCCTGGTTTGTATGTCTTGACACATTTTGAAGGGGGCTTCTGCATAAAGTCAAGACTGTTTCCTTAGAAGAGGGTTCGCAGTTATGCATTGATACCAGCAGGGAAACATCCCCACGGTGTTTCCTGAGCTGGATGCTCTCTTGTTCTGTAGAGCATAGTCCGAGTGGTTTTCCACGATCGCAGACTGCAGTACATGGAGCACCAGCAGCTGGAGGGCTGGAGGTGGAACCGCCCCGGAGACCGGCTCCTGGACATCGGTATGAAACGAGCAAACCAGCCCTGAGCCAGTTATCTCAAGTTCCTCCTCCTCGCATGGATGCTTTTCCTTACAGTTGAGCTCTTGTGCACTGGCGTTTCAAATCGGCTGTCGGTAAATGTAAATCTAAACGCTGTTTTCAGACAGCTGTCTTTATCAGAAGTCTCTTTAAACAAAAAAGTTTATAGTGGAAATTACCTTCTACCGATGTCATCATGCGGCATCACAACAGTTCCTTTTTGAGAATTTTTTTTTTTGCTTTTTGAAAATGTTCAGAGCTGCGTTCGACACCTTAAATCGTGGTGCGGTTCTGTTTTTTATTGCGAAGTTAAGTCCTGCGAAAAGCACCGAGTTCTTTGCGATTAGAAAAATTGTTCTTCATTCCTGTGGGGGGGGAAAAATCAAGTCTTTGCAACTGGTTTCTCTTCCCTCAACTGATGAAAATATTACGTGCCGAACATAGTCTGACCACCCGCAGCCAGCTTCCATTTACCTGTGTAAGACAGGGTGGGTGCCTCAGTGCTCCTGGGCTATTCCTGAGGGCAGTGACAGAATGGGCCACGCTAAGGGTGATGTCAAGTTTTTTGAAAGAATAAAATAAAAAACATTGAACTTTCCACAATGGTTTTTGTGCTTGACTGAATGTTCACCTTTAGGGAACCTGTCTGCTTACTAAAGCTGTTGTCATCAGTCACCCGCTTCGCTAAACAGGTTCTTCTTCTCTTCTTCTCTTCTTGACCAGATATCCCAATGTCTGTCGGCATTATCGACCCGAGAACGAACCCCACTCAGCTCAACGCTGCAGAGTTCCTGTGGGACCTCTCGAAGCGCGCTTCAGTCTTTGTCCAGGTATATCTGGTCTTGGGGTTCATCTTCCAAGCCGCCTTCCCCTTTACAGTCATTGGTTTTGTACACTGCAGATGTAACTAAAAATGTGTGGTGTCAATTCCAGTCATTGGGTGACTTAACTACCCACACTTCTGAGCACAACTGTTGCCCTCTCTCCCGGTTAGGTGTGTTCTCATTCTGCCTCGGCGCTCACTTAATTGAATAAAGGACTTGAATAACTACACACCTAACATTGTTTTGGGGGGGGTCTTAATCCGTTGATCATTCCAAAAATTATTTGTCGAACTCACAGGCATCCGTTTCTCAAGGCTAAAAATAACCAAAGAATAGCCTGTTCTTTCCGTCTCGAAGCAAGACCTCCTGTCAGGAAGGAGAGATATGAAGCCAATATAGCACATCCCCATTCAGAGACACGTCTCGGCAATGTTGGAATCTGTCCGGGTTAATGGGATACAGTGTTTTTTTCCTGTTTAAACACTTTTGTTATCCTTTGTGGCATGGCTTGTCTTCCAGATTCGTCTTTGCACAGCCCTGTCCTTTCTCAGCCTCGATGCAAAGTTGTTTTTTTGTTCAGTGTAGAGTAGACGCACATATCTCTCTATAATGATGATTGCTGGCATATTTGGCTGGCGCACAGCGTGCAGTGCACACAAGGCTGTATTGAGGTGAGAGAATTATTTTCCGTCTGTCCTTCCGTGTGGTTAAAGTTTGGTTAAAGCAGTGGTGACCTCTAGTGGTAGGAAAGGAAAGTGGCGTTTCGACTCGGAAGGCGTTTTAAGAGGCCGCCAGTGTGGGTTTGGAAAGGTTTGGGTCTTTATGTAGATTCTTCCGTATTCGTTAAGACATTGTGGGACAGGCACCAAAACCAGACAGAATGCTGAATCAAGCAACACTGTGCTCCAGCCTTTTACAACTCGCTTCCCACACCTCATTTGGAATATTGTCTTCTTTTCCTTTACCGTATTCCAAAAAGGATGTGATCTCCTTGAAAAGAGCTTAAAGACGAACAAGAAGAATTCTTTCCTGGCCCGAGAGGATTGTCAGATTTAGATCAGAAAAGTGAGGGTAAAGGACCTCAGATCCCCTCAGTCTAGAACAGAGGCTCTCAGCATTTTCTAGAAGTGTTGTCAGAGGCGATTCGCAGTGTGAGACTGCTGATTTTACACACGCTGCTATAACTGGTAGTAGAATACTTTGCTTTGTTTCTGGGGACCTCCCCAGACAGAAACCAGCCTCCCCTGGTCTGGGAAATGGGAGGAGGTTTGATCCCTCTAAAAATCTCAGTAGGTATCGACAAGTCTGTTTTACACTCTAATGAAACAAGGAATGGGCTCAGACCTGTGAGCTAAAGGAGTTCGTTTAGGACAGCATAGAAACCGCTTCTTCACAAAGAGCTGTGGGTGTCTGGAACAGGCTTCCCAAGTATGTGGATGAGGCTCTAATCTGAGCTCCTTAAAAAATACATTTTAGACTTGCTTTGCTGGCAAGGTACCAGACTGTCTCTAAGAACTATTGACACCTCAGCTGTTTTAAATAGGAAGTTAACACTTGACCTCTTTTTGCAGGTGCACTGCATTAGCACAGAGTTTACTCCCAGGAAGCATGGTGGGGAAAAGGGCGTGCCTTTTCGGATTCAAATCGACACTTTCAAGCAGAACGAGAGTGGAGAGTACACCGATCACCTTCACTCTGCCAGCTGCCAAATCAAGGTTTTTAAGGTAACAGTTTCCCCCAGCCTGGATTGTTCAAGGGGAAAAAAACACCCTCAGTTCTGCGGGGTCTTGTTAGAAACGGCTGCACGCTTCTAGTGCGATTCCCTCGGTCTGCTAAGGACCACAGTGCAATTCGCACGTCCCTCCTGCCATCCTTTCCGCTGGATACAGCCTGTTTGTTACACGTGAGAAAGTGGGCCCGTTCTGTAGCACTCTACAGCCACACTTGAGAACCAGAAACCAGCTCAGCTGCAAGCTGCAGAAGGGTGCGAGTCAGTGGGAGGGAGCGCTTTTAACAGTTTTATGATTAATTCAAGGCGCTTTTAACAAGATTAACAACACTCAAATAACATTTTAAGCCAGCAGCCATATCACCCTGCAACTCACAACTGGCAACCCACTGAAGCTAAGCAGGTGTGAGCCTGGTCAGTACCTGGATGGGAGACCTCCTGGGAAAAACTAAGGTTGCTGCTGGAAGAGGCTTTAGGGGGGCCAGCAGGGGGCGCTCACCCTGCGGCTCATGTGGGTCCTAATGCCCCAGTGTAGTGACGGGGACACTATACTGTAAACAGGCGCCGTCCTTCGGATGAGACGTAAAACCGAGGTCCTGACTCTCTGTGGTCATTAAAAATCCCAGGGTGTTTCTCGAAAGGAGTAGGGGTGTAACCCCGGCATCCTGGCCAAATTTCCCCATCGGCTGTTATCAATCATGGCCTCCTAACAATCCCCCTCTGTGAATTGGCTTCATCACTCTGCTGTCCTCCCCACTGAGAGCTGATGTGTGGTGAGCGTTCTGGCGCACTATGGCTGCCGTCGCATCATCCAGGTGGGGCTGCACACTGGTGGTGGTGGAGGGGAGTCCCCATTACCTGTAAAGCGCTTTGAGTGGAGTGTCCAGAAAAAGCGCTATATAAGTGTAAGCAATTATTATTATTATTTTAAGCTTGGTGGCTACGAAAAGCAAAGGTTTACTTGCCATGTTAAGTGCTTGTTTAATCCTGTATCTGACTGTGTTCTGCGGTGTCGTTTTTTGAGTTGGGGGGGAGGGTCTAGTGAGGGGTGGCAGTGGTTCGCGCAAGCCAGCGAAGTGTCTTCAGTGTGCACACGGCGTGACTCTCCCATTCCTCAATCTGACTGAATAGCCAAAAGGAGCGGACAGGAAGCAGAAAACCGACCGAGAAAAGATGGAGAAGAGGACAGCACAGGAGAAAGAAAAGTACCAGCCTTCATATGACACAACCATCCTGTCTGAGGTAATGAACAGCCAAAGGAGACTAAGCCAAGAGCTTGGACAGGGCTAGAGTTTGAGAGCAGAAACCCTAATTGTAGAGATTATCCCTTCCACTTTTTTGCGTCTTTCAAAAAATCAATTATCATTCCAACCCCTAAAATTACTATTATTTGAAGTAAAACGTTGTCACCCTTACCCTCTTTAAGAGTGTGTCCTCACCAAGATGTAGAATATGAATTAGGCAGCCTTTGCGTGCCACTGATTCTGATAATTTGAGGAAGCAGCAAGGCCAGAAAGTGTGTACACCGAGCTGTCAGCTGTGAGGTTCAGACAGGGGACTATTAATGCAGTTATCGATCATTAAAACAAGCGTTTCTTAATCTTAAAAGCAAAATGGGCAGAAAAACATGTATGTGACCTAAACAGTACATTTTAATTGAAAATATATTCTTTGAGTCTTCAAGTATTCAATTTTGAAATATTTTTCAAGCAAGTTTAAATAACTATTTGATTTAAAAGTTATTTCCAGGTGTCAAAATTTATCAAAGGCTTCGTTGTTTTTTAAGTTACAGTAGATGACAAGTCTTCTTTGGAAGCAATCTTTGGACTATGGCATAATAATCCTCATGAAAAATTAAGGTTACATTTTTCACTGCTTGTAAATTCAATGCTGTGAATATTTGGGTGGAATGAGAACAAAATAGTTTTCTCGTTGAATTAAAATGAACAGCCAGTCTGGACTTATGGGCACATAAGGATTGTAGGCATGGCCGAAGCCTCATCAGGTTAATACTCGAAAAAGATGATTCGCTCACCTTTAATATCACCGTGATTACCATAATCATGAGAAACGGTTTCGGATAATTCTGTTCCAAGTCGAGAAGTGGTGCTGCATAACATGTGCTCACTGTGTAATTAAAACATTGATCCTAGTCTTTGGTGTTTGTCTAGATGAGGCTTGAGCCTATAATAGAAGAAGCAGTTGAACATGAACAGAAAAAGTCCAGCAAGCGGACTTTGCCCGCAGACTGTGGCGATTCTCTGGCAAAGCGAGGCAGTGTAAGGACTTCTGCTTACCTTTTAACTGTGAGATTCACGCGTGGTGCAGAGTTCAAAGTGTTAGATATAGGGCTTCTGCCACTCCATTGTGAACAGGCCTGTCTTGAGCCTGGCTACCTCATGTGGAACTCCTCGCTTAGCAGCCTCTTGGACTCCCCTCTCACTGGATGTGTGAAACCACTCCTAAATCTAACACTCTCAATGGTGCTGGGAATACAAGAGAGAATTCTTTTTGTTTTCCTTTGGTATGCTCTCTTTGTTTTTGTGTGTTGATTTGGTGTTACCTGTAAGGATGTTAAAGCCCTTTTTTCTTCAGCTTGTATCTTATTGAATGGTTGTGATCTGTGGCAGCGATTGTCACTTCAAAATTCAGTGGTGCCGAAAAGTATTTGTACACACTATGAAGTCAATTCAGTCATCGTACACCAAGTGTTCTTTTACTTTCATACCAGTTATTTTGGTTTAAAGCATTGCACTTGGATAATTGCACTGATGAATGCAAATTTCATCAAGCGGGGAATTACTTAAACCTAATCTTTTTATACTGTTGTTTTTAAGAGAGGAAACTCAAGCTCAAGGGGAAAAAAGGGCATTGACAAGTCAGGAGAAGCCACAGTTCGTGACTGTTCATTGTCATATAAACACATTGTCCTCATCATTTACTGTAGAACATAGCACTGAAACTGGTAGGGGAATGACTTGCATATTATGTAGTTCTTCTATAAGAGTACACGTTTTGTACAATTTACTTGTCTTGAAGGCACGAGAAAGTTTTGATAAAGCTGTGATAGCATCGACAACGTCTTGGTGTTTTCCTTACACAGCGGTAAGGATTCATTCCGAGATTCATATTCATGCTGGGACATGAATTAATTTAACTCTACAGCACCACATTACAGGACCAGCATGTCCAGATTGCCCTGTAGATTTAAACAAATAACTACATGAAGAGCTGGTTTCACACATCTTGATTAGCACTAATCTTGGATTGATTGAGGGCTAGACAGGGTCTGCTGTATGACAAACCAGTGTTAGCAATAGTCCTATGCATATTTACCTTCAATAAGAACATCCCATGGTCCAAGATTAGTGTTAGTGGTGTTTGTGAGGCCATTGGAAAACATTAAGAGAAGAATGCTTATTTTGCTAAAAGTATGAAATCTACTTTCTTTTACTGCAGTTTTTTCATCTGACTTTTGAGTTGAGTTTCAGTCTCACTGTGACAGCCTCAGTGTGTGATGAGCTGTAGCTGTAACAGAGCGTCTTGCAATGCATTTCATTATATTCATGGTTTGTTAAAGACACATACATGGGCGCAAGAAGTGCTGCTTTAACCAGGGTATTTGTGTTTTCTGTACTGCAGTGTTCGCCTTGGCCAGACAATGCTTACGTGAATAACAGCCCGACAGCTTCTCCAGCATTTACCTCGACAGCACACAACACTTACACTGTCCCAGACAGGTAACAGTCGGGCCTTTCATCAGTGTCGCGTTTGTGGTGCGTGTACACGCTGCACTCGTAGAGCAAAGAATGCGCTTTAAAAAACTGAACATCTTTGCAAGCGGCATTTGATAAAAATCAAATGATTTGAAACCGAACAGGTTGTCCTCTGGACCTCCTATTATTAATATTGAATAATGCAGTATTTGATGAACGTTTGTTTGACATGAGATGTTACAAGCAGTGGCATTAGAGTGTTAGGTAGCAGATGCATTATTACATTATATTACATACAGCATTATTAAGATCTCTTTTTACATAATGCTGTAAACTGGTTATCTGACATTACCAGGTGACCATATTCCAGCACACACCTCGAGCACTTCAGCCATGTCCACTTGCAAAGCATCAGAGTTAGTTACTACATATTTGGGAAATGGTCTGGGGAACCTCAGACTAATTTTCTGTAGGATATGTTTGTGTAAGTGGTACACAAATCGGAGAACAATGGGGTTTGTAGTATACAGTAGTTTCTTAGCCAATGAACCGTTGTTTCTCTTTTACAGCAGTTTTTCTTAAATTACTGCCAGCGTACTGCATCGCACTACACATTTTTATTCAGTCTGATCAGCTGCAGGTAAAACAGCTGATCGGATATACCTGAATATTTTCAGTGGAACCTGTTTGCATGCATCTAAAATGCACGGTATTGATGCTGCTGATGTGTAGTGCATGATAACAGTCCCATAAATGTCTTGACCTGGGTGGGGAGTAACTTAATTTCTCAAGATGTTTTGTGCATAAAATTGATTAGTCGCCAGTCAACACTGAAATCCTTGTTATGAAGTACAAACTGAAAGTAACTAAACAGAAGCAGACGTGCTATTTTGAAGGAGATTTTATTTACTGGAAAGCATATCTACAAATATGAATCTCTGTAGTCTTTACATTGGGTTCAATTTTTCGTTTTTTGTAAAAATGTCAGGTTACTAGTATCTGGCTAAGGTAACAGAGGCATAGTTGGTACATCAGCAACTGCCCTTCTTTTGTGTAATTGCTTTGAAATTCACAGAGTTGCTGTGCTTTTACCACACTAAAAAAACATAGCAGACATTACAAAGGTAATCCTCAGCACATTTTGGTAACACTTCAGTTTAGGGGTAAACTACAAACCTTTCATTAGTACTTTATTACAGAAAAACAGCTTGAGTGCTATTTGATGGAATGACAAATACATTAATAATACGCATCTTATTAGTTAAACGTGTAGCATGTTCTTACCTATTACCAGTGACATGCGCCTAGCTGGTTTCATACAGGCCTGTCCACCATTGAAGTATTGGTGTGTCACTCCTCAAGAGCTGAAGCATGGCTTACAAGTTGCTGCTAAACAGATTGTTACAAATTTTCATCATGATTCAAATTTCTTAGCACCTGGTTTATGAATTTCTGTTTTGTTTGTATTGTTTCATTTCTTCATGTTTAATTTTAATTTTAATGTTTTTCTGTTCGTAGTAATTCTTCATCACCAAATCATCAGGGAGATGTGACTGGCCACGTTGCTATGGAAGTGAGTGTTCTTTATTTGTAAGGATTTTCACATTGGGATCTAAAAATGGTAATACACTTTCTGGAGAACTAATTTTCTTTTTCCTTCTCTCCTAGCAACTTAGTCCTACAGCCTCTATACAAGAAAGTCAGCAGTGGCTACACAAGAATAGATTTGCTGCGTACACTAGGTTATTTTTAAACTTCTCAGGTATAATTGCTATTCTTATGAATTCCTGTGAACTAAGAATGATCTGAATGCTGTGCATAAATAATTTCTTTATTTTTTATGTGTATAAAGTGAGGTATTCTCATTGCAGTAATGACTGAAAACATAGATCAGAATACTCAGATTGAATTTCCAGAATGTCATTAAAAATAATTTAGAGGCGTTTCAAATTTGTTGCGTTATGATAGTTTAATGAGGTGGTGAAATTTGTGGGATTATAAGGCTGACATTCATTTGTTGGATTTTTTTAAAGGATCTGATTTGCTTAAATTGACACGAGAGGATCTGGTTCAAATTTGTGGCCCAGCTGATGGGATTCGACTGTTTAATGCACTTAAATCAAGGTAATATGGCTTAATCTGGCTTGCTGCCAGCTGATGTGATGGTCTTCACTAGTCTTGTCCCGTTGAATCATGGTATTTGCTTTTAGACATCGTAGTGAAGACAGGAGTGTAAAAACTGCAAAGGCTTCCTCATCCGTTTGCTGCGTTGGTGATGTCAGCTAATTGAAACGGTTGTCCTAGTTTTGCAGCACTCTGGAATTCATTGAAAAGTGTTGCTTAAGTACATCAGGGAGTTTACAAATAAGAGGTAGCCATTCAGCTCAAAGTTCATGCCTCTGAGGAGCGTGTTCCAGACTTGTGCCGTAGTCCTGTTTAAAGAAGTACCTCCTTTTCTGCGTTTTGTGAATGAGCCTTACTTTAGCTTCCTTTTGTCTTCTTGTTTCCTTGTTCTGAAGAAATCCAAAGGACCGACTCTTGTCTACTCCCTTAAGGATTTTTAAATTTTAACGTTTAAAATCTTTGTCATCTTCTCTATTCAGTTCTCAAGAAGGGTTAGTACTTTTAGCGAGCCAGAAATAGGCCTTCTTTTAAACCCTGGGAAGTATATTGTCATTCTTCTCTCGACTGATTCAAGAGTACACGTCTCTGTAACACGGTGACCAGATCGTGTACAATATTCTAAATTATTAGCGCTTAGTTCACTGCTGCTGTTAGACTGCTTTGGCATCTAGCAAACAGTTATTGGCAAGTTAATAATCCGTGATGTACTGCTATGTTGGTACATTTTGTTCTGAGCAAAGGTTAGATATTCCTAGGTTTAAAACCTTAAATAGTTACAATTGCTTACAGCGTAAAACTAGCTTCTTTGTGAATTTCAGCTTTTTTAATTCCATTCTTCTTGTTCTAAAATAGATGACACGTTTCAGTTCTTTTGCAAATTTGTATATGCACTGTGCAGTAACCAAACCCCTATCTCCCAGTTCCGGCCTTGCCCGAACTAAAAAAAAGATTTGAATTTGAGTTTTTCTTTACAGATTCATCAGCCCATGCCGTGGCTCTAATACAATGTGTTCTGACTTATTACAGGTCTATCAGGCCTCGGTTAACAGTCTATGTGTGTCAGGAAACACCTCAGACTAAAAGGCCTTCGCTGCTGGATAGCTGTCATGAGACTGAAAATGGGGAACACAGCAATAGTGCAATATATGGTAAGCAACCTGTAATGGCTGTTCTTTAGCACAGCGTTATTATTTTTTACATGGCCTTAAGACCTGCTGTGAGGGCAGAGCTGAAGAAGGAATAAGGGGCGCTCCATATCATGCTGAAAACGGCAAAAGAGAAACATTTCAGCTGCAGAGTTACGGTCGGGCATGCAATCAGGTTCTCAAACTAGTGGAATTCGTCTCAACAACTAGCGGCAAAGGTATACAACTGTCCTGTTTGCACGGCATCGAATGTTTTAAAAACATGCTGTAAACAATGGTACGATTTCAAGGCACATTAGTGAGGAGAATATTCACCAGGGCTACTTATGACTAATTTTTGGCTATCTGTATGTTGAGAGCAAAGTGTTTAGAATTGTTGCATTTGATGCAAATCAGTGATGCGTGTGTTTCTTCTGTGTTTTTTTTTCCCTTTGGTATCGTCATCTTGTCATTGAAAAAACATGTGGGTTCTGTAGCCTGTTAATATTCTTTATTCCCAGTGTATCATGCCCTCTACTTAGAGGAGATGACTGCACGTGAGCTAACAAGAAAAATTGCCTCCGTCTTCAACATCTCCCCCAGTCAGATCAATCATGTTTATAGGCAGGGTCCGACAGGCATACACATTCTCCTCAGTGATCAGGTATCGTCGTCTTGGCCTTGCTTCTTTGAGTGGTCTTTTTGATTGATTTAACCAGTCATGTTATGATGTATTAAACTCCTGGGTGGGACAGCTCACCTTGTCATACAGCTGTTTTTCCACACAACCCTAGCCTGAACCCCAGTTCTTGCTCAGAATCTGATTCGAAATGTCCTTTAGAAACTCCCCTGCTGCACAGTCCAAGTGCGTTCTGGCCACTTCATCGTGAAAAACATTTCAGAACATTGGTAATAATCCTGAAACCAACATAAATGGTGTGTATCTTATCTAAATCGCACACATGTAGGTTGCCAGGCCTTTTGTGTATGAGTAAAAATGTTCAGTACACTACAATATCATTGCCAGGCTGACACAAACAAGACCATTGTGTGCTACAGTGTATCTTATCCCTGTTTTTGTACTTGCGCCAGGGTTATTCTCAAGATACCCAGCTATATTGTTTCGTTAAGAAACAGCTGGATGACATCATCAGATCTGTTTACTACCAAGTAGTAATGGGCCACATGGCCTCCTCTTTCTTGAGCTTTCTAATGATATTTTCACCCATCGTTAAGAGAATGATTTCTGTCCTTATTGTATTATGACATATATGGAAATGTTCTTTAGGTCTGTTGTTTCTGTAATGCTAAGCTGTACGTTTCTTTTTTATAGATGGTATACAATATTCCAGATGAAAGCTGCTTTTCAGTCAGCACATTAAAAGGTATTTGTTTATTTCTTTGAGCCTTTTGATAACCAATTAATTGCTTTTATAGTTCAATTTATTGTTGCCTGATTAATGTCAGAAATGGGTACGTGTTGTGAATTAAGTCTAATAAAGACTTGCCGTTAAAAAAATCTGTTTTACTCACAATGATAGTGTATTTTCTGCTTTTGGTGGAATGTGGGCGGTGCAGTAGCTCTGTGGCTCAGGATCTGCGCCTGTGACTGGAAGGTTGCCGGTTCAAATCCCGCGGCCGGCAGAGGAATCCT